CAGCTTTCTCGCTGATCGGAGCATCAAAGTCGTCATCGACGGAGCATGCTCCGACCTGAAACCTGTGAATGCTGGTGTCCCACAAGGCTGTGTCCTATCCCCGACCCTGTTTATTCTGCATATCAATGATATGTTGCAGCTTAGCAACATTCATTGCTATGCAGACGACAGCACTGGGGATACTTTTTACACTGGCCGGGCAGGTATCTCTCGGGCTGTTGTCGATGAGTACCGGAACAAACTTGTGTCTGAAGTCGAAACTCTTCTACGTGGAGTCTCGGACTGGGGTAGCTGTCGCTACTCCCCTCTTTGAAGACACTCTCCTTAAAGCCTCAGCTAGCATCGGAATACTGGGCGTTGACATATCGAATAACGTTCAGTTTCGCGGTCATCTGGAAGGAAAGGCTAAATTAGCCTCCAAAAAGCTTGGTGTGCTCAGCAAGGCGAGACGGTACTTCACTCCGGGCCACCGCTTGCAACTATATAAAGCGCAAATTCGGCCCCATATGGAGTACTGCTCTCACCTCTGGGCGGGAGCTCCCAGTACCAGCTCCTTCCACTTGACCGTATTCAACGAAGAGCGGTTCGAATCGTCGACGACCAGTCACTTTCCGTGCGGCTTGATCCCTTGGCGTTGCGTAGAGATGTGGGATCTCTCTGCATCTTCTACCGCATTTACCATGGAGAGTGTTCAGAGGAGTTGTTCGGTCTAATACCTGCAGCTGAGTTTCATCATCGGACGTCAAGGCAAAATACAAAATACCATCCGTATCACCTCGACGTCCGTCGTTCCACAACAGAGCGTTTTCTAAGGCAGTTTTTGCCGCGCACCACCACTATGTGGAACCAGCTGCCCACAGAAGTATTTCCGAACCAATTCGACTTAGGGTCCTTCAAGAAAAGAGCGTACCAATTCCTGAAAGGCCGGCAACGCACTTGCGAGCCTTCTGGCATTGTGAGTGTCCATGGGCGGCGGTATCACTTAACATCAGGTGAGCCTCCTGCCCGTTTGCCTCCTATTACATAAAAAAAAAAAAAAAAATTCAATAAATTTAACAAGTACCGGACGAATATGCTATACAAGGTTCGGACACATCAAAGCATAGCGAACGGATTGACATACTTTATACAATTGTGTTAATTCTATTCCAAATGATAATAGAATCATGTTGACATGATCGCATAAGCATTAGTTCTACCCAAGTACAGCTTGCTTATAGAATACAGATTTGAAATGCCCTTCTTCACCGAACTGAGTATAATAGGTATCATTTTTACAAGCTATATGGAGCTATTAAGCTAATACCGAAGTTTTAACTATATACACGAATGTTTGAGCGACCTCTTTTTGTCACTTGAGACAGCCTATAAAATATCATCATAAAAGTACGACTTTTATATATATGAAATCCCATAAGTTTTGAAGTAATACTCTTGACATTTAGAACCTTTCGCGATGGAGGTAAGAATCCGAAGACTTCACTCAATCGTGTAGACTTCATCAAATGTATAAGATTTGGACGTACGCTAGTCATAGTTATAATCTTACGCTAAATACCTTTTTTACTAAACAAATAATGAAAATAAAAAATTGTATCGTCTCACCGCGTACCAAATGATATAAAGAAAATTTTAATTTTTTTAAGTACTATTTAGTAGATTATAATAAGATAAAAATACAAATGGACAAAACCTATATTAGAATGGCATCTAAGAGAAGGAAAAAGGAATAGGAGACGCCAAGTAAAAAGATGGGCAGATTGTCTGCCGACGAGATGGAGCAGACTAAGCTAGGATAGCGCAGAAATTGCGATGTCAATGACCATAAAACTGGTTGTTTTATATTGTTGTAAATTTAATAACCATTTTTCTTTGTAATTATTAATTTATTATTTATTAGAAATACATTCGATTAAAATAAATGAATTACTTGAGTAGTGACTAGTGATAGTAAAGATTATTTTTACTATTGAAAAAACTGTTTTGTATACAGTACTAACTACAGTATAAACTCGTTATAACGATTTTCGAGGGACCGAGCATTTTTATTCGTTATTGGGACGGAAGAATTAATATATTATGGGTATTGGGTTAAACCAAATAAATTTAACTCATTCTTTCGTTATAACGAATGACGTTATAAAGAGTCTTCACAGTATTTACTAACGGCCATCACATACATAGAACATGAAATTTAAAAAAAACCATTCTAATAAGAACACGACTAAAAGAGCAAAGAGCAAATGATTAAGTCAATATGAATAATTTAGTGCCAATTTGAAGATTTAAATCCTTATACTATGTATCAATTATCAATAGTAGTTCAATGTTCAACATTACATCTGGTAATAGATATAATGTATACCGATATAGGCATAGAAACAATATTTCGAAGAGGCTGCGTGCCAAAACGACGTTGCAATGTTATTTACGTTTGGCGCAAATGGTCTGGGTTTTTAATTTAGACATCCCAATACAGTTCACGAGTGATTGTGTGTGTTTATATAGACATTGCTGTTGAATGCTGCTACGCTTTGGAAAGAACGAATTAAAAATCAAAAATATATTTTACTGCAGTGGCCTAGTGGCTTCAGCGTGCCACTCTCATCGTGATCGTGACGTCTTAGGCCAAAAAGTCGACGGCGTGTGTCTGACACAGGAGGCTGATCACCTACTTGCCTAAACATGCATAAAACAGACAGAAATCTGAGGCCCAGACCTAAAAAGGTAGCGCCACTGATTTATTTATATTTTACTACTTTGAGAATTCCCGAACATCCAGAGTCAATTATTTCAGCTCAAACGGTGTTATATTTTTAACAGACTTGAAAAATGTTGTATATTTTTTATACGTTCCTATTCAGGGTGTTCAAACAGAATATAATAATTGATACTTACGTAATAAGCTGTAATTTGTACTTTGACCATTAAAAAATATCAAAGGATACAATCTGAGGCCAGAGCCATATAAGGTTTAAGCGCCACTCTGTGTTAGCCCATTAAACGAGGACGATTATACATCGCGCAATTAAATAGGGTAAACTACTCGGCACAATGTTTCATAAAACTGTATTAACACAATATGTGCACGTGTTGAATCGCTTTAGACAAATATTTATCCACTTTTGCGATAATGTTGGCATGTAATCCCACGTCAACAGGGTTTATTACGCGTTTTAATTACTCGTTCACTGTGAGAAAATTTTAATGAGATATCAAGAGTGGATCTTGGAGGAAGTATGCCCAATTATTTTTGCACGTTCAAGGTAAGGTCAAGACGTGATAGGACTTAAGGATACTAAATTTGGGCAAAATGGAAAAGAGTAAAAAGCCAGTGACATAAATGGAATAATAATGAAGTTGCGATAAACATCCATTTCAGAGAATCCGTTGTTTAAAGCTAATAATTGCATGTCATTGTTTGTTTACGTTTGGAGAATAAAAAGATTTTAACTTAGTATGAATTAACGTAATCAGCTAATGGGGCATGGGAAACAAATTATAATCCATTCAATTGATTATTTATCTATAGACATATAAAAGGTATTTGTCCCTGACAGTTTCAGAATCTAACGCCCGTTTCGCACGTAGAAACAAAATTCTGTTATGCAGCCGAGACGTAAATGAAAACGACTTTCCATCAAAAGAGTACAAAACGATTGTATATAATTACAAGAACCGCACACCAGTAGACAGAAGTATGAGTCACGCAGACGTGGCACTACAAGCAGAAACAGATATTCAATGACTTCTCGCGTAAGGCCACTCGCATACGGGTTGCCATTTTAATTCTATAACGATTCGGTCCACAATAAAAAATAATTAACAATTCGATTAAAAGTAGAACAAATAATTAAAATTAACTTTTGTCGTCCGCATTACTTTTACTTCTCGGTATAAGAATAGTATCGATATAAAAACCTACAATTAAAAAGTTAATTGTACATTTACCTATCTACATTCTAACGATTCAACGTTAGATGTGAGCTTAAGAACTATTTTCGACACCGCGTCCAGACAATACTGGACACGTGATGATGCTGAAAAGCTATTGTGTCACGCGTTATCGAGTATTTTAGTTCCTGATGCAAATGCGGTATTTGCATGGTGAGTACAATTAGATGATCGTATATTTTTTACTGATAAAGTTGTTTTAATCGTAATGACAGCTAGCGCCAGGGTTCTATAGTTTTAAAAACGTAATTACTACAAATTATAGAAAGTAGTTAATGAATTAATGTTTAGAAAAAAGCCAATAATTAAAGTTTTTTTTTTACACAAACAATTGAGACTCTACTATGCTACTATTTAAGAAAAAACTGAGGTGTTGGATGTTTTCTATTAAAAAATAAAACAATGACTTCTGGGAAGTGTAAGTTTTAACTGTGTATTCAATGAAGTGTTATAAAAGCTAATGTTAGTCGTTAAAATTATTAAAACAATTTTCATATATTTTATGTCAATGTGAACTAAGACTATTTTAGCATGCTAATTGGTGTCTAGTTAATTTCAATATAGTCACAAGTAATATCATTTATAATAAAAAATATGCCTCAATTTTGCTGTACAGTAACTAATGACAAAGCTCATAAATTCTCAGTAATTTAAGAACAAAATGATAATGGTCAGATGTCCATGTACATTGCACAACACAATTTACATAATAAAGTACTAATTTACCGCACTTTATGAAATCATTTTTGTGAATCATTATAATAATTGGTTGTTTTTGGGAACAGTGATTCTCAACATGTAACATAAATTGTTTATGTATAAAGTTGTTTATTCAAGAACACAAAAACTACACTAGATTGTTACTGTTAAGACCAAATAAGAGATTAAATCCTACAAAATTAATAAAAGAGAAGCCATGTGCCCAGATTTAATAAAAATAGCTGCTACATGCAGCTGGTCATATAAAAAATATTATCAGATAGATATTTGTTTCAGAAATGGTTCTCCACATTGTTTACCTACTGTAGCAAAATAGTCTTGTAAAAATGATTGAAAAGGAAGTAGATGCTACGAAACCTGATCTGAAAAGTGGGCTTGATATACAGTTAAATCAAGTAACTACTAATTTAGGAGAAAAAAATATTTTTGTATAAAGTTCTAGCCACAAGAAAATAATAATAATTACAGTACAGAAATTTGATTAGTAAAGATTTCTAATGAACTCAAGCCCAGGTTTTTGTATTTTTTTATCCTGTGACCATTTGACAATTATTATAAAATTCACATTGGTGTAATAAAAAACCTTTAATTTAAGTGTTATACTGGTATAACAACGGAACTGCACCGCAATCATGTATCAGAACATTCTCGTATTACTAGAGAAGGTAAACAGATGTTTATAAGGTCATTGCTTGATAATAAAGCGGAAATGGAAGTTTTATTTTTAAAAACTGTTACATTATGAATTGATTCTGTAATAAATCTATCAGCCGGTCTGAAGGACGCCAACAGGTGTCAGAATGCAAATACTTACAGAGCTCATTGGATACAGCCGCTGCGTCACTCATGAAGGAACTGCTCCTTGAAATGGGACCCCAATTTCCCCTTCGACCGCTGTCTCTTGCTTCTGCTCTGTCCACATCATTGGCATTACAAATATGAACAAATACGCACCAATATAACACAAAACTGATACGCATCGTGATCTTTCAATGACACTGAACCTAATAAAGTCCGAAATGATTTCTCACTTCTTTCTGAATCGCACACACTAATAACATTCTAAGATACACTGTTTTGTTAGAAATCCATCGATTTAGATCACGTTACACAGCCAAATTATAAAAGTCCAAGTACAGCTAGTCTTTATCACAGAAAGAATTTTTCCCCCGACTGAATAATTTCAGTTGACAGCTCTGGAGATAATGTTTGACAGATGACAATGGACATTGAATGCATCTTTGAAGTATTTAATGTTTTTGACAGTTACCATCGTAAAAAAAGTGCTTAATAACACATAGATAATAAACGTTAGATTTGCTAATATATTCATGTAGCTCAAGCTTCGTAAAATAAGTAAAACACGTGTAGTTAATAAAACCTATACAAAGTTAGATATTATATGAATATATTAGATATAGACTATGCACGAAAAGGTATATTTATAGGCCTATATTTTTATATTTCGTTGTTATCTATTTGATGACAGACATATCACATATTATAGTTGTTTCACGAAGCATCTACTTCTACTATGAAAATTTCATTCAAAATCAATTATGACGTAATTTTTTTAAAATAATTTACGGTTTAGGTTGATTAAATAAAGAGATTAACACACATTCATTTTATTGTTTCTTGAATTCTATTAGTCTCACTTATATCTTAGAATAAAATATAAGTGATACAGTAGTGCCTCGTTAAACCAGACTCCCGCTAGTTCGATGATCGGCTTCGCGAGCAGGGCGGGCTGCCATAAGCCAATCCATCGTCAGTCTTTCGTTTATCGCCTTCCGTCTAGTGTCAATTTAGCGCGCTCACTAACATCATGGAGTCGCCACGTACACTTTCAATATTTTTTTTTTTTTTTTTTTTTAATGTTTCCAGATTATTCCCCGACTATATAGTCGTCGGAGGTGTTAAAAAGCTTACATAAATGTATTGGTAACCCGAATGTTTACTTTCTATTACTATATTACTACTCTACTACTACCTATTTCTTTTGACAACCCCCTGCATGACCCTCACGGCAAATCCCAAAAAGATGCCCCTCAACCTAACATTGAGCATTATTCCCTTCAAACTCGTCTCCGTTACCCTCATGCCCATAGCTTGCTCAGCGTTATACCTGTCGTATCCATACATGGGACAGTCGGTCAGAACATGCAACACTGTCTCTTCAGCTGCATCATCACAAGGACAGGCAGCACTTTGTCTAACCCTGAACCTGTGAAGATACGACAGGAAGCCACCGTGACCTGTCAACATCTGAGTGATCAATCCCGTTGGTTTCATTTGTTTAATTATCGAAAAGGCCGAAGCAACATTTGGAAGGAATAACTTGGTTATTGCAGCTGTTTCACCGTCTCGATATCTGTGATTCCATTTTTCTATCGTGTTTCCACGTAGACAGTTCTTCAAATGCGATATGGGAAATCTATTGTACACGGGCGCCTCTTCTAGATGCGCAGCTTCCTTTGCTAGTTGGTCTGCTCTTTCATTCCCCTCCATGCCCGAATGCGCTTTAGCCCAAAAAATATCAATTTTTTTGTTGAGTAAATGCGCTTTATTTATGTTCTTACGAATTTCAACTACAAGGGGATTGAAAGAGCGACCACCCGCAACACTTTCGAGTGCACTTCGGGAGTCACTATATACGCCGTAGGTTGTTTCTGGGTGACAAAGGATCCTTTGAGTCGCTTTAAGAATAGCCACCAGTTCAGCTTGATACACGGAACAGCATGAAGATAGTTTCAATTTAAAAGTCTCGAATTCGGCACCATTTTTCCATAAGGAAACGCTGGCACCGACCAATTCGTCTACTTTACTTCCGTCCGTATATATCTTTACTGCCGGTGCATCTGTTCTAGGACGCTCTTGTTCTCTATAGGCTATAAATTTGATATCAGGTTCTTTGGAGGGGTGAGGAATACTCATCCACGATACTCTTTGCTCCAGGTCACCTTCCAATTCAGACTGAAATAATCCTCTCTTTGCTTCGTATAGCACAGCGGCCTCCTGGATTCTAAGGTCTAAGGGCAATAGTCCAGCGAGGATCAAGCTGGCATTCAGTGATACGGTTCGGTAAGCTCTGCAGAGCTTCAGCGCGAAGCTTCGTTGTACTGAATTTAATTGCTTCCTAATTCCTAGCTTTTTAGTGGCTGGAGCCCAGACTGCTGCCGCATATAAGATTATCGGCTCGATGACTGCTGTATAAATAATATGAATTACATCTCGGTGTAAACCCCAGCCAATTCTCGCCGCCCTTGCTAATTGTTTGTAAATATTTGTTGCTTTCCTGCATATATTGGAGATATGTTTATTAAAGGTCAATTTAGCATCGAGAGTCAAACCAAGTATTTTTATTTCATCTGATAGTTTCACGGACACTCCGCCCATTTTCAAATGTGGTTTGTCATATTTTTTTTTTTTAGTTATAATCATAGCTTGGGTTTTTTGTGGAGCAAATCTGAGTCTATTTTTGGTACCCCAATCTATTACATAAGCAAGAGCAGCATTAGCATTTCGTTCTATTTCAAATGCTGATTCTCCGACAAACACCATGATGACGTCGTCTGCAAAGGCTTGACAATAGTACCCCTTTTTTCCATTTCTTGCAGCAATGGATCCAAAAGTAGGTTCCAGAGTATAGGGCCACCTATGGATCCCTGAATGCATCCTTTCGACGTATTTCTATTTACCTCCTCTCCCGCATATTTTAACTGAACCTTTCGTTCTTTTAGGTAGCTATCTATTATCTTTCTCAGGTTAATCGGGACCCCTAGTTTAGCCAGCTGAACCCGTATCATTGGCCACCAGGCACTGTCAAAGGCGCCCTCTATGTCCAAGGAAACTATCGTTATCAATTTTTTCCCATTTAGTTGGTCTCGTATATAGCCGACAAGGTCGTAGAGGGAGTCTTCTGTGCTCTTTTGTGGCATAAAACCGTATTGACGGTGGCTTAGTTTGGGTATCACATGCCATTTTAATCTAGACACAAGCAACCTTTCTAGGATTTTTCCCATCACGGGCAGAAGACCTATTGGTCTATAGGACTTTGGACTCGTGTAGTCATCCTTACCAGGTTTCCTGAGAACCACTACTGTTGCGACTTTCCATAGTTTCGGGAAGTATCCAAGTTCTAGACATTTGTTTGCCATTGATAGGAACACTCCCGGATCCCGCAGGATAGCTCGTGAACAAATATCGAGAGTGAGGCCATCTGATCCAGGTGCTTTTTTGCAGTCAAAGCTACCAATCACCATGTTGAGTTCAGTAATAGTAAATGGAGGATCATGGTTGTCATCATGGTCCTGTTCATTTACTGTTTCAGCGAGCTGTCTTGTTTTCTTATGTTCCTGATCATCGTCTTCCTCTTGATCGCGCGGATAAAAAACCTCTGCAAGTAGCTCAGCCGACTCCCTTGAACATAGAGTTTTACCTTGATTATTTAGCGGTAGGTCTTCATGCCTCTCAGTGGTTTTATTTATAATTTTATATATCCCCTTCCAGACTCCTTCTTTATCCTGTTTTTCACTTTCAATATTAACATTAAAAGACAAATTGCTGATTATGGAAATGTCAGATAAAGGTGACAGCTACCCTATCTTTGCTCGGAAGTTTGACATAGGCTTTGTTTACGTGGTTGCAACAAAGGCGACTGCATGTTCCTGTAAGTGGTCATATGATTTGCGAGAAAGCTCGTAATTTATCGCCAGATTACAAACTCCAATAGCGGGTTTAATGCAGCCGGGGACCGTTAGACAAATTATACGCCATAGAATCAGACGTTTAAAACTGTCATATGATGAAGCCGCTATTGGACAATAATTCCAACTATTTGCAGAAGGTTGTTAGAGAAAAAATTTAGTATTTTATGAATGTCGGTTTGTTGACGCTTTTATTACCAATTGTTTTTTAAACGGCTAGTAGAGGATCAAAATATGCTTTTTTCTGTTTTTTCCCAGAACCCAAGAACTCGTAAAAATTTACTTTTCATAGTGGCGATTCTCTATCTTCTAATTTATAAAATTCTCGTGTCACATACTCCTCCGAAACGGCTCGACCGATTCTTATGATTTTTTTATGCATATTCAGTAAGACTGAGGATCGGCTACTATCTATCTTTCAAACCCGTAAGTGATTAGGGGTGTCACCCAATTTTTTTGTATTATGTAGCATTAAAAAATACATAAAACCCTGAATTTTCACCCCTCTACGATCAACCTTCTTTTTTTCTTATAGAAGATACAGTTAAACTCTTTATAACGTCTGTCGTTATTACGACAAAATCTCTATAACGTAAAAAAATGCTCGGTCCATTGAAAGTCGTTATAATATAGTTATTTTTATTGAACTATTAAATGTTTTCCTAGAAATAATATACATGGCAAAACGACGTTTGCCGGGTCATCTAGTAAAATATACAATATTTGAGAGTAATTTTAAAGGCTGGAGGTAAATTAAAAACAGTTTTATTTAGATATTAATATATTTTCGAATCTAAAATGTACAAAAAATACAACTTAAACATAATGTACTTAAAACTGCTGTTATACGAATAAAATTGTTTTAGATTCGAATACGTGGTACGAAGCATCGGATTAAGTAATTGACAATTACTATTAAGATGTCGAAACGAGGTACTAGAAAATAATGAAAGCTACACATTCATTTTGCTTCACACAATTTTTTCCGAACCAGTAAATTCGTTATAATTAATATCAGAGTGGCTGCGTACAACGCACAGTGCGGTGTACTCGTACAACTAACATGTTTTACATTAAGTAAAATATAAACATAACGAGCTACATAATATATCAAATATTAATCAACCATCACTTCAATAACAACTTTGGTTGTATTCTAGACGTAAAAATATAATGTACTTTAGCTATGTACAATTTATAAACATACATACATACAATGCTTCGTGAAGCACAGCAACACAAACGAGCTTAACTAACATCTGAAGAACTAAATAACACAGACATGTGCCATTCGCAAAAAAGATTACTGCGCACGAAAACGACTAGTTATATTCAACACTAAATAGTTTTAGTCTGTTTAAGACTGGGTATGACTACACGTTAAAGCTGACAAATATAACCCACCCGTAATTCTGTGTTTCACACATTTCATATTAAATAAGAACGTCGCAATAACCCTTTCCGCCGCTGGCCTTAACGTTTCAGGCTCGAAAACATAATTAGCTGTGAGTGCGCCTACGTCGGATAACACCTAAACGAATACACGACATACCCCTGTACGCAGACGACAGGCCAAGACTCGAGGCATGATTTTATACAAAAAATAAAATCAACTGTACGGGATCAAATACCTCATCGTGTTAGCGACTGTCATCTTATAAATATCACATATAATCTACGGAGGAATTACAAACTGATTTAATACAAATTTTAATGCAGGGTGAATATTATACATACACTAATTATGTTTTCCTTTTGAAACAAAGATTCCCGTACCCATCAATGTTTCTTCATCGTGGAGCTATATCACTACCGCTAGCCCGTGCACAGAGCTTTAGTTAAACTAATCATATCACATCGAAAACACAGTCCAATTTTCGCTGCGCCTGTGGCTGCGGATGGAGTCTTTGGACCCTTTTTAATTTCCACTTTGTTATCACTCTGTGCGACGGGATACTTAATGCAAAAATAATTATTCCGATTATACTTACATAAAATTCCGATTTATATAACATTTCGAAATACATAGACAAATCTTTTGAAATTTTTAATATTTTTAAATCTATGGTGATAAATCTATAAGAATTTTGAAATGACAATAATTCTTACAGTAACAATGATAGATGAATATTTGTGAACATAGAGTTCACGTTTATTTTCGACACGTTAAACGGAACGTTCCACACGCGAATAGAACGTTCACTGCATTTTACTTCGTTTCGTCGGAGTCTCGCGCAATCTACGTGAAATGTTAAAAAATGTGCTACACAAATATCTTCTAAATTACAGAGTAACATTTCACAGTATAAAGGCCAATTTTATCAAAATATTAATATAGGAATAATTATTCGTTGATGATTTTAAACAATGTTATCGACTTATTTGCTACCTTGGGTTTTGCTGGCGATCAGCGGATAGCCCGCTTCAGCCGGATGTACATCGCGAGAAAAGCATTATATTTCATTGATTTAGACGACTGCTATTTCCAAATATTTTATAAATATTTGATTCGTTGGCTTGTTCAAAGCTTAAATTGACACTCTTTAAAGAATATTCAATTTCGCAAACATTTGACGATCGAGAATTTGTTTAACATTTATCGTAACATTAGCTTAGATCGAATATAAGTTTAGTGTTATTAATAAAACTGAAGTAGCTTATCAATAATTATTTCATTCATATTCACTTATACACATTCGTTACAACAATATATTAAAAAATACTGCGTCTCTTTATATGAAGCATAGGCTATTTTATCACCAATGTTGCGGTTTTTTTATTTTGAAGGCCATGACTTTACAGATTTATTTTTACATCGAGTATACGATTAATTATTGTATTGTGATTTTGAAAAAATACTTTTACCTGGCATCAGGCGTGTTAAAACGTGTCACAATAATCCAATGGACGCCAATTATTAACATCTATTTCGTTATAAACATGTAAAAAATATCATCTCTTGACCGTTACACGAGCTGTGTTCGTGTTTGACAGTGACATTGACATGTGTGACGTGAGTGTCATCTATGGTAGAAGGCCATCAGTTGTACTTTGTATAGTCGGCGGATAGCACGGCGCGTCTGTCCGTAATAAAACAAATGGAATGGAATATTGCTACCTTTGTCGGATGTAAAGCTTTATCTCACTATCAAAAATGCTAGTATTTAAGCCCCTGGTGAAATAATATTGGTCAGTAGTCTATCAGAACTATTATACTTTTAAGGTACAAAAATATTTATAATTATTTCTTATTCAGCTTACACCTTTATTTTGGTTTGGGTATTCTACTTGTTATTTGTACGTTCATCTTTAGGTAGGTATAATACATCACATTTAAATTTATTTTTTATTATCTACGGGTGGTAATTCCAGAATATTGCTACTTAAGAAGTATGCGTATGAGAGATAATGACAAAAGCCATGAGAAAATTTCAGTAAACGTTACGTACATGTATGAGAATGCCACAAGTGAACGAGGGAGGACTTTGAAATAGGTATATATCTCAAATGGTAAAGGTCCGCGTAGACAGGGAATTGATAATGCTCCAATGAGTACAGCAACTTTTTAATAAATGTTATTACTATGGTCCCACTCGCTCTAATTAAATGGACACAAAAGCACACTTGAGTTCATACACCTTTACACTACATTGTGCGGTTCTAGTTCGACCCACCGCGCCGCTAACATTAACAGCTATACGAGAAATTTAAATCCTACATTTACGGTTTTTTACATAAGGTTCCTAAGTATCTTGCGTATGGAATTAATATCCGAATTGGACGCTTTTAGTTCTAATGTGATTTTCCTTGGGAAGTTCAGATCTAGGTAGATGTGAAATTGAGCACTATAGTTACGCCGCGAGGGCGAAGTTCTAAGACGAAAGCCGCACTACTAATTTCCAATAAAACCTCTATAATGTTATGGTGTATCAATTTTGATATAACAGTACTTGAGTTGAGGTAGTGTTAGGTGTGTCGTTCAGACGCCTATCGGCAGTGCTGAGTCCTTGAGAGAGGACGGCCTACGCTCAAAGCTAGGAGCCACGTCGGGCACGACTTTCCGAGCGTCGTACGAATTTGTGGGAATTCACGATACAGACAACTATTGTAAATAATAATTACAGAAATAAAAATTAAATTTAATAGTAATATTAAAATAAGAAACACAAGTATATTTTAACAAAATATTTACACTAAAGCAACAGCCTATAATTTAACAACACTATATACACACTGCGGCCCCTCGGTCTCTATGCGTCAACTATAAAAAATTCATATAAACCAGATTTTTAATTGTAAAACGTTGTACATTATTCAATGTAACTGAAATTCACACCAAAATATAAATAAAAAGCATAGAGTCGAAGACTTGAACGTATTCGCTCCGAATACTAACTTATTTCGCCATAACAGGTAACATCTGACTTTATAATACATAACGTTTACAACGCCAAAAATATGTATTCGTATAATATTGCACGCGGTCTATGGAAATATGCGTTAAAGTGATGACAAGTATTCCGCATTACTTCGAGGAAGTCACCGTCGCACTATAACTTACAGCTAAACTATACATACATACAGACATCTAATATCGAAGATTTATCGGGGAGTAGGGCGGGGCGTAAATGCAAGGGCGTGGCCGGTCACTGCGACAGCAGCTTCTGAAGCAGAGAGGCCTTGCTGGCCGGCGCCTCATCACCGCCCGCCGCCGAGCCCGCCTCCGTAGTACTCTGTAGGGACACGGACTTACAACACCACTTCTTAAAAATTGTGCCTTGCTGCTGATTTCCGCACTACCCAAAACAATCGTGATTTGATGGTATTTTCGACAACACCTTTTGACAACAATCGTGTGTCGATGGTATTTTCGATAACACCTCTCAACAACAATCGTGTGTCGATGGTATTTTCGATACCACCTCTCAACAACAGTCGTATCAATGGTATTTTCGACAACACCTCTCAACAACAATCGTGTTTCGGTGGTGCGTAACACCGAGCAAGGCACCAGAATTTGACAGACCAAATAATAGGCGATGCACAGTGTTTAATAACGATAAATGCTGAACGCCCTTTTCTGATCCGCAAATATAAGGCATGGTTTTTAGTCTCAATTATGAAATATAGAAAAGATTAAAAATGATCCTCATAATTTTGTTGAAAATGATCTTTTAATAGAGCATATCAAAATGTGATTTTATGACAAATGAAAGCGTGCTAAAAGTAAAGCAATTAACTGATCGATTCGCTATGTTACCCCGTACGATACAACGGAACCACAATTCGTTTAAAAATAAACAATTTAAATATTTGATCGATGGTATTTTTTTATTTAATTTCTTTGTAACATTTGTTTACCACAATTGTCTTATATTTTTAGAAAAGATAGCTAGTAACATATACTGTAAATATAGTGATAGATGTGGTAAACTTCAATAAATAAATAGGCATATTCTAAAATAATTGTGATATATTTCATGTAACGTACGGACGTAAACGTCTACATTTTGATCGCTCGTTTTTTAGTAATTATAACATGCATCAGATTATATTCATTACTAAAACTGCACTCGTAAAACGAAATAATTCGTATGCTAGTAATTTATTTCAGAAGCCAAACAAAGCGATCTATTGGCAAAATCAAACTTTTCGAGTTAAATCTAAACTCGTTAACCTCCACCCACATCGCATGCGAATTACCCCATTGTCCTATTAAAAGCTAAAATGTCATAAGACAATACCTAAAAAGCAAATGACTTTAAGTTAAATCTATCGTAAAAGAGTCGTCTAGAATGACATAGGTACACATCACAAAAGCTTCATCATTAAACCGGGAAATGTACCAAGCTGACCATCGATTAATTTAACAATTCGCGCTCTACGCGTTATGACACGCTGGTTGACGTTGGCACATTTCTTAATCGGCCTATAAATCAAAACTGTTCGACAACACACGCAGCAGAGCAGACTCAATACGTAATACGCTTATGTACTCTACGTAAAATGAAAAACCTAAAGAAAAAGTAGTGTCTGGGTGAATAAATGAAGTCGCTGGTTGCATCCCAGGCTTACCGGAGTGCTCTGAGGCGCCTTCCACGCGTTGGCCGCGCCGCGCCCGCCCGAGCCGCCGCCACCTACGTACCACACGCTACATTGCCACTGACCGACCCTTCTCTTTACAGCTATGAGCTACGGTCATATCTCATTTGGCCGCAAAACAAACTAACTTTGTAAGTAAAAGCATTTCGACGTTAACGGAAACATGATTATATGGCACGGTGCGAAGTTAGTGAATATGAGACGCGTATTTAACAAGTTTTTTAAGTTTAAGTTACAATGTCATACATAAGAAGTTCAATGCTTGCACTATGGCTAGAATAAAAGAGTGGCATGTTATTGAAATATTAACAGGAAAAAGATTATTAAATTATCGAATAATGGCCTCGGCTTTATCAGACTATAAACATTTAACAAAATTACTGCACGGCTTTGATTTTTCTATCAGATACAACCTATTAACGTCCGACTCAACGACGGCAATTAAATATTTAAACAGTTTATTAGTTAATAAAATTATGATCACCAGGGTGAGGGAGCATCTAAAATGTCTCTCCAATAATAAATACGAACCTTCACTATAAAGTTAACTATAAAATGATCGATTGCCTTCAGTTTGGCCTCTGAAATGATTTCTACGGCATAAAATGGCCAAATATTGGGATATTTAAAATTAAGAAATATTAGAATGATAAATTTAACACACGAAATGGACTGAAAATATTAGTATGTGTATGTACAAAGTTAATTGTTTTATTATAACAACTTCTAGCTAGAAGAAAGAAAATTGAAATATACATTATAAAACACCAGATAGCTTAGAAAATGTTAAAATAATATAAAGCTTCAAATCTTAGCTATATTAGTTCTGTATTATGTAAACATAACTAAGGTATTAAATATTTAATGTTTAGATACCACGATAAAATTCTCCTAAAAATACATTTCAATTTCCTTATCTCACATTAGCAATCAATCAACCACGATATATACTTAGAAGTGGGGCATGGGGGTATACTAACCAGGCGCGGGCATATCGAAGGCCAATAGCGGGTCTAGTTCCTGCGCGTGCATCTCCGGCCTGGCCGAGCGTGCGCCTACGACAGCGCGTAGTTCGTTGCGTACGTACTCCGACGTCCCGCCCCCCGCTGGCCCCGCACCTGCCCCGCCCGCCATATCTGCATTCAATATACCCCTTGTATTTGACAATTAACCTTCAACGCGCGACAGACTGATCCAGACGTTACCAGCTTGTTTGCAATGCATGTCATATGACTTATAGTATAGAAATTGTTAAGTAGCGATAGTTCGAGAATACTGATCATGCAAAATATCATTCGTAAAGTCTAATTTATCTACACCTTACCTTCTATACCAAATTTCTATTCACAAATAGTTTATAGAGACTAGTATTTATCACCTTATTGTAAGCGAAGATACATTAATGTTATAATAAATAAAAAAAGTTAGTAAAATTATTAATAGATTGTGATTTACCTAGTGCAGAATGTACCTAAGAGTTCGACCTAAATCGAACTGTCATCTGGAGATTGCATATCTTAAATATGAATTGTGTAGGTGGAACGGTGAGGCCTTGCGGCGAATTCATACAGGCGGTCGCTCTGCGATATTGTTACCAAGATTGACCAAAGATTTGAGTATTTATATGACTAAAATTCTTATAGGGACCTATACGAAAATTACGTCACAATTTATATAGAAGTGATATGAGAAGAACAAACATAGAAACATCCATTTTGATTTTTGAAATAAGTTTATATAATTTCAAAATAAGCTGACGACAAACTCGGAAGGGACTCAAAATTTCATAAAGTGACGTAATTTTATGAGTGGCTCTTAATTCCGAGACTAATAAAACGGGACTCGCAGAGCGGCCGCCCTAGGTGAGCGTGAAATGGATGAAGTACCCCAGTGGGCGAGATGAGCCGAGCTACTTACAAGGCATATGGTCGTGGGGCGAGTGGTGGGGCGCGAGGGGCGGCGCGGGTGGCGCCCTTCGGCCGAAGTCTCCGCAGTAGTCGCCGTCCTCATAGTAGCCGCCCACTGCCACACACGCCCATTACAAACGGAACACACCGCTAACCGTTAACCGCTAACCTACCTACGTGCGACACGCCCGACGCCTGCGATTTAGGCACGACATTTTATCTACACGTGGATCTGGGAATCTGTGACTAACTCGCTACCTCTACCCGTCGCATTTACTAAATATTTTGGAAAAAAGCCAATAGTCATGCAATTAGTTAAATCGTTACGTCATAACGGACGACGCTAGTCTCATAGGTCTACGCATGCGAAGAATTAGATTTGCGCGATCATGCTTTCGGTAGTTCCTATATCTATTAATATAAATTAGTATGCGAAAGCGCAATAAGGAAATCTTGGATCAGACTGATTTCGGAAAATAATTCGCTAATAAAACTATCAAATAAAATACTATAATACAGCTCCTGAACCCATAATGGAATTTATAAATTAAAATACAGAACGATTTTAAAGTGAGAATAAATATTAGCAGATTCCTAGAGAGATCGCTAAACGAAATAAGATTATAATCGTATACAGATAATAAATAATTTGTTTATAAATGCAATGCATACTATATGTATACGAATCATATAAAAGCCTGTTGTAAGAGCAACCGCGTCATAGCGGGTTATTGATCTAAAATTCGATCTTGAACGAGTCTATTTCGCATTCAAGAACACAGTCATAGTAAAGTATGCCAAATATACTAGTTCAAGTCTGTGGTCTATGACATATTTTGTAGTAGTGTGTGATTAATGCAGCGGTATTCAGATACGAAAATTTCAATCAAAATATATAAATTCAAAGATCTTTTCCTCAAAAGTTGGACAAAGAAAACTAGACTGTGACTTCGTATTAGAACACGGCCTGTCACGTGTGATCTCTGTGGTAATTTTAACAGCATTATTATAAAACGTGGATTAAAGTTAGTACCATGTTCGTAGCCATAGTTACGATGTTAAAATGGTAACCATAGTAGCCGTCTACAAACAATAGTCCACGTTTTAATAAGGCCGTATGTCAAAAGCGAATCGCGCTAACTTGTAAAACGTGTATGTTAGGTGTCATGTGTATCTGTGGTGGTTACCGTGATGCGGTCGGGGTGCGCGATGATACGGCTGCGGGGTGAGGGGAGTGAGGGGCGTGTGCAGCGCTGTTGACACGCCCGAGACACTTGGCCCATAGGCGCCGCCGCCTCCCTGTAACACGACAATTATTTCTTCAGTATACCAGATACTATATAGCGACGCTAAATGAACTGCGCATTTTTTGGAGTCGTCATTTTATAGAAAGAATGTACAAAAGATAATTATAATATAGAAAAGGCCGAGGGGTAGTAGGAGAAAAGGGCGCCTTAGAAAAAGGTAGATAGAATATATAGAAGCGTAAGCAGGAAACAAAGCCATGGATAGAGAAATTTGGAAGAAGCTGGAAGGGTTCAGATCAATGTTACTGAAGGAAATTAGGATAACGAGTAATAAATACAACAAATTTAAACTGTATATTGTCAACTGAATGGAAAGAAACGGCTTTTAATGTAATATCAAACAAACTTTTTACAACATCGAGTCTTGCAATTAAAACTTTTAACAAAGGCCAAGTATGAATTGTGTTAAGTAAAAAAAACCGTTGGTAAAAGTTTAAGAAGTTTTCCTCGTAACGGCCATAAATAGAATTTGTGGCCAAGGCCAAAACAATGATCAATTTTCTAATTTTACCCTACAGGAAGTATGTACAAAATAAAGTATTAAGTAATTATAAGTAAGTAGATCGCACATGCTCCTTTATACACTCACGTACGTACACATACGTACGCACGGACAATCCAATTATATTTTTCTAGCGTAGGTTCATGCATTTTTTATGATATTAGATTTATATTTTTGCTTTTTGCTACCGAAATAAACAACATTCGCCCTGAAGTTAGCCATTTAAAAGCCAAAAATTTGTACACTTACATGAAGTTGTCTGCTCAACATGGGACTTTGCTGTGACGTCACTATTTTATTTGTACCATAACTTGAGCCCATTTGACCTAAAACAAACACAAATAATTGTCTTCTGCACCTCTTGATATACAAAATGGACAATTTATAGGGAAACTGTTACTCACTGGTCGGATGATATAAATGGTGGAAGTCAGCTCTGGGCAGCAATGTGACATTAGGCGGAGTTGCAGAGACCAGCGCGTTGATGGTTGACCCCAGATCCTGCTGGGGCTGTTCAGCAGCCTGTAACAATAATCAGTGAGGTGAGATGACTGCATCAAGGCAAAATATGGTTTCAGTAAGGTATGCTTAACCTTTGGCAAATTCATCCCAATTTGCTTACTTTTACTAATATTATTTTTTCTACTAAGTATTATTATTATTACATTATTTTACTTTTTTTGCGACTGAGGCGCAAACTAGTTGCTGTGGTCTTTGGCAGAATTACCAGCGCTGTGCAACAGTCTGCTGCTCAGCATAATACTGAGCCTAGGTCAATTACAACCACCACACATGACACACACGCATTACATACTTAAAACTTTGTTCTTTAAAAGAAAGAAAAAAATGTTATCTTTCAGTCTTTTTTTTTATAATTGTTATTTTGTGTGTTTCTGTGTGTGTGTTTGTTAGTAATAAATGTTATATCTATGTCTATGTCAATTCTATCCCGAAACTCAGAAGTCTTCTGGGATCACGGATATTCTCCCCTGCATTCCAGGATTTATGTATTTACGAGCGCCGAGTCGTTGCTCGTAGTGTGACACACAAACTCGCGGTCGCTTCTAGTCGTTTTACTAACGTTTGATATCAGTAATTTTAAAAAAAACACTAGTAATTTGGACTCATTCTGTTTTCTTATATACCGTGTCATTCTGTATTCACAACTAGCTGATATGTATAAAAAATAAAATTGTTATACATATTGTTATACATTCACCAATTTAACTTAATTTTTTTTAATAATCTTAGTGTAACACCGTTCTATTAATGTTTGTTTTTCACATTCGGAAAATTCCGAAAAGCAATATACCTCTGGTGAGACGAGCATCTGCTGCGATTCCTGCAAGTGAAGCAGCCGCGCTCGATGTTGCTCCACAAAGGCCCTGGCTCGCGCCGCCCCGTACAATGCAGCCCCAGGCCCCGAGGGGCTCTGCGAGGGGTACACGGGGGGCGCGGTGGATTGAGCTCCGCTGGAGGGGACGGGGCTCTTGCTGACAGATTCGCACTGCATGAGACTCTGTGTTATCGCGTTGATCGCCGCTTTCTTTTCGTTCACGCCCTGTCCCGGTAGAGAAAATGTTAAATGTTGATAATTATTTTTTTTAAAAGTCCGTTTTCCGTACTCATTTAGCGTAAATCATAATTTGACAGAAAGAGTACTCCGGTTTACTGGTAAATTCGATATAAAAAAGTTCTTAATCATTACTTAAACGACACAAAATGTAGGCAATGCAAGGTCTGCCATATATATAGTAAAATTATATTCATATAGGGCGAATTTTACTATAAAAAATGTTTTAAAAGTTTCAAGTTTTTTTAGATCCCTAAGCAATTTTATTTGATACTAGATGACCTAGCGAGCTTCGTATCACCTACAACTACTAGGAAGGGTTTTTGATTTAGTTTAATTCAATTGTCGTTTTAAGTATTTTTCTTTACTTATTATTTATGGTTCCCACCTTCAAAACCTTCTATTAAATTATCCAAATCGATCCAGCTATTCTTGAGTTTAAGACAAACGACCGTTGTCCTGCATCATATATCAAGCGATTTGGATATTAAACAAAGTATGAAATCTGCAGCGCCATCTGCCGGGCGGATTTGTGAATCTAAACTATCCAGGGCGCCACCCAAACGCATACGAAAATCATTCAAATCGGTCCAGCACTTTTAAAGGAGTTCAGTGACATACTCACGTACAGTAGAATTATATAATTGTGGTCACAGATCAGACAATGATAAGTACGTTCATTCATATATAAAGTGGTGCCTTCAAGATTTCTTAATACTTTAATTTCTTGTCCTATAAAGTAATGAAATTGCATTTATCATATTCTGAGATATAACCTCAAAAGTATATAAATATAATTTGCTGTGGTAGAATATAAGTTTCATGAAACACAAGGATCGATAACTTTCATCGTGTACCTGATAGTCATGTGAGGCAGCTCGCGTATCGAGATCCATAAGGGTGTGGTCGGGCGCACTATTCCGCTCATTGTTCTCGATCAGCTCATCAAGAATCTCTGATAGCGTTTTATCGCTGTGCACCTCAATGTCATTCCCTCCGCCTTGCACACGCGTACTGCCACCCCTATTAAGATTTTTTTTTTGTTATTTTCATAATATGACAAGTGAGACAGAAAATTGAGAGGTTTTCATATGTATAAAAGGTATGGTCCATTAAAGATCTAAAGAATTATTAATAATACACCACGGGACACAGATACTGTGGTATATATATTTTTTTGATAAAAAAACAAACGAGCCTGCGTAACCCCTAAAAAGGGCAGTCATCTTAGCCCATGAACAGTGAACACCCATTTTAGTTTAGGTACGTTGCCAGCCTTTCTTTAAACAATAAAAGGTAGTTCGCAAAAGAAGCCGCGGAAGACTTCCAGCCATCAAGGTGATAATGTTTTAGTTAGCAGTCAAGTCATCTTTTCTCAGTAATAAAAAAAACTTAAATAGAGTATGATCATATAATCATGTGTAAGAGAAACAGTATTTTATCTTTCAAGTAACATAGAACGCCAATTACCCATATCGCAAACACCTGCCATCGTAAATCGAGGGCATTATGATCAATTAAATATGTAAATTATGGAATGTAGCCTTGGATCCTTATCACACCATAGCGTATTTAATATGAGTGATATAAACTAGTGTAGAGTTACTTATTCGATGTACGTTAACTGTTCAAGTTACCTTGACAGTTAAATAGTACATTTTACTAGAGATTAGTATTAATTTTATTAGTTAAAAACAGTTTTCTATATATTTTTCATGATCATTTGTAATCAAATAGGCGAGTAGGTGATCAGCCTCCTGTGCTTGACACCGACGACTTTTCGGGTCTAAAGCAAGACAGTTTCCTCACGATGTTTTCCGTCACCACTCGAGCGAATGTTAAAAGCACATAAAGATAGAAATTCCATTAGTACACAGCCGGGGATAGAACCTACAACCTGTACGACCTGAAAGTCACACGCTAAAGCCACTAGGCCACCACTGCTCTATTGTGTTGAAAGAAATGCGATTTTTTTGTTGAGGTGCCAAAAGAATTAAGTTACTATGGGTAACATAAATTAAAAATAAATTGTGCAACGAGTTGTATCGCTAGTAAGCGATCTCATTCGGGTGACCCTTATCTATTATATATATAAATCTATTCATTAAAAATACAATTTAAAATATATACTGCCATTAAAACAATTTTTATTCATAATTGTTTGCAACTTTTTACTCTACGTAACTTTTTGTTTCCGAAACAAACAAAAAATTTCCCTGACAACACAATTCTTTACACAAGCTCCCGATTAGCATCGCATAAAAATTTAAATAAAAGTGCGTGATCCTATCACAAAAGAATTAATTTATACACAAATTAAAATAGCAAACGTTAATTTTGTAATTCAGCCTTGATTATACAACTGATAGTTTCGCACATTGTGAGGGCTTGCTAGAACTTCTGATACATATTCTAGCAGTTAAAGCACCAACAGACAACGCAAAAAGAGGAAGATAGAGGACAAAATTTTAGCTAACAAAGTGAGGAAATGAAAGACAATCCAGCCCATGAAATTTAAAAGATTTACAAGTTACAACTTATGTTAACTTATATATATTTTTAACCCTCATCTTTTCCTCCCCCGGGAACATGTACGGTTTACAACCGTACAGGTATTGTAATGTAATTGACACCATGCAATATGATTTGCTTGTGTGTTCATTTTCATTATATCTTATTATATTCACTTAAGTTAGTTCGCATTCAGACCTCGTACCGGGCGCGACTCTTATCCTAATCTCATCTTACCCTACTAGTTTAGTCCATTGCTGGTTAAATAAATAAATCCCTAAAAAACCCTTTACATATCCTAAAAATTTATCCCAACCCCGAGCATATTCCAAACATAAACACGTAATTTAATTTCGATTATACAATTTATTTGTAAATATATCTTAATAATATTAATTTAGTTTCTTTTTATTACATGATGAAAAATCTCTAAATTATGTAAAAGAAACACTACTTCACAGTACCTTTGTAAGACAAATTAAGTCTAAACAAGGTCGCGACCTCGACTCTTACAAAATACGATACAGTTTCTTATAACCCACAATTTTATTTGAAACTTTATATTTTTCGACGTATTTAATTCGTTCTAAAGAGCATTGAGAATAAATAAATGTAAAATTACATTTCAATAGTGATAATAACGAGCAGTTTTGTGTTTGTGGCTTAAGCGTGCGATTCTCATCCCTAAGGGCGTAGGTTTGATCCCCGACTTTCTGTTTCAATCTCCGCATTAAACACTCGCTCGCACGGTGAAGGTAAACATCGTGAGGAAACCGGCATATTTTGATACTTGCCCATTAGAAAAACAAATTATCTCGAAACAGATACAAAAATCTGAGGCCCAAAACTTAAAGATTGTAGCACCATTAACAGCCTAAAACCGACATAACCTTCCTACATAGAAAAAATTAATTCGTGCCGGGAATCGAACGTACGATCTCTGGGTTGAGAATTGATTTTACATCTAAGTTCCACTAATAAACATCTACCATATCTCAAATATACTCACGGTGGCTGCGCATTATATCCATGATGCGGAGCGGGGGCGGCATAATGCAGGGGGGAAGGATGCGAAGGGGGCGGGGGGTAGGCCCCCCCGAGCCCCTTGCAGTACCAACTGCAGGTGGCTTTGAGCGCCCCCAGTTTCGCCTCCAGCGCTACCCACACCGCCATTCATGTTTCCACCACGATTGCTGTAAATATAAAATATAAAAAATAAAATATTATAGTTAAATTAATTTTTATTGGTTATTATATTGGCTGATATATTTAAATCAGCCAAAAGAAAACCTAAAGTTGGGAACTAGGAAGCGAATGCAGATATACTGAGTGTTAATTAATAATAATAATTGAGAGACTATCGAACTTACTTATAGAGTAAGAAATTATTGCGTGATTCAAAAGTACTGCGCATAAAAACGCTAAAAGCTATGCCTTGAGTTGGTATAGTACGTCGGATTATATTTTACCGATTATATGTTATTAATTGTAACAGATATATGTATATACCATTTTGGACCTTAATTTTTTTTCTATACAATTTATATAAATAATAATAATCGCAAAATATGTTACACTCTGAGTATTTTTTTAAATTTATTTCTTGAACTCGGAGAAAGACTTGATGGAGAGAAAAATCGGAGAAAAATTAAGATTATTTTTTACTTCGATTTTCATCCCGGAAAAACGACCAGTATCTATGGAGTAGCTTAGCAAAATATTTTAGTATGTAGCTACTGAAATGTAAGACTTACTAGAAAAAAATCATATAAAAGCGGAACGAAGTCCCCGCGAACTTCGTTAGAACAGCTAGTTTGTAATAAAATCAATTCGAAAAGTACTTTTACTTTTAAAAATTCAAAGTAAATTTAAAAATGTAACTCACTTCGTGGCCAGCATATTAGAGAGTGTGTGCGGATGTTGCCTGGGCGCGTGTGCGGGGTGCGGCGGGCGTTGCCGGGGGGGGAAAGGCCCGGACGGGGTGAAGGGGCAGGGGAGTGGGGGGCGTCGTCTGCTGCCGCGCGAGCAGCGACACCAGGATCTGGTTCTTGAGGCAGAGCTCGCTCTTGCCGACGCTCGCGGGGCTGCCCAGGCTACTGCTGGTGCTGCTGCCCGCTGCCGAAGACGTTACCTGCGTAGCGATCGCTTCAGTTCTCTGGATTTAAGTTAAACATCGTGACTTATTTGTTTCAAAATAATTGTTTCCACCGGATTCTGAGCAACAAAATAACTACCAAAGTCGTTTTTTGGATACTGTACTGAACTATACAGTGGTACCTCGATATATGAGTGTTTAGAGATATGAGCAGCCTAGCGAGCGATATTTTGCTTTGAGATGAGAGCAAGAGGATACGAGGAATCGCAAGCTACACATGTTAGTTATTTCGACTATGTATTTACGTGTTGTTCCCAAGAGAGTGCATGCCTCCTGCTGATAGAGGACAAATCTTTGTTTTTAATTTATTTTATTATTATTTATTACTTAAGATGTCATGTGGAACATGGTGTAACGGTTGTAGCTCCTTACAAACGTTGTGTAAAAAAAAAAGGCGATTAAAAAGAGTGGCGGAGAGTTTATTGCCAGTTCTTCTCTTCCGTTCTACACCCTTGATTTGAGAACTGGCAGTAAATATAAAATTAGAAGCATTTAATTTTTTTTGTCGTTCAGAAATGTACATTGTGTTACCTATATGAATAAATGATCTTGAATTGAATTGACTAACAGTTTCTCCCACCTCTGACTAGACCTCAGTATATTTGCTTATTTAATTTGATAAGTTGGGTTCGCGTTTTTTCTTTTTGTACATTTTCAAAACATTCTATTTTTATAACCATGGGACCAAAGAAGATGATGTCTATATAATTAAAGCGTGAAATTTTGGGGGCCTCATAGCCTAGCGGTCTTATTAAGTGGCAGCTAGGTGAGAGGTACCGGGTTCAATTCCCGGTTCGAGGGCAAGTTTTAATTTAAATTTGTTCTCGGCCTTTGGGAGGGTTGTGCGGTACCGGGCGAGTGCTTAAACCGTACATGAAGGACACGGTCGAATTTCACAAGCACGAATTATAAAAAATCCTATACTTGACGCTGGCTAATGCACAAATCGTGCCAGAGCCATTTAAAAAAAAAAAGCGTGAAATCATTTTCTCATTCAACAAAACCATCTGAGGTGGTGTTTTGGGTGCTGGAACGGATTAATGGCATCTCAATTAATTTCATTGAGGAACATGTTTAGTTACGAGAAATGTTACGGAACGAATTAAACTCGTATGTCGAGGTACCACTGTTCTAGTTTTAATTATATAAAAAAAGTTTTAACAAGATCTTCAATTTTAACATAAGTTTAATTTGCATCTGAAATATAATTCTTATTTGAATTAACGTACGTATAAAATTCTCTCAATATGTAAACCGATACGTTAGTAGTTTCAGTTACACAAACCCTTCTAAATCTGGTTAACGACTTTCCAATACATGTTGTTCTAGAAATAAAAATAATTGTCATTTATTAGAAAATCTAAATAAATACCTTTTATGAATAAGAGGGTACAATCAAAAGTATTTTAACATAATTTTTTACAGGACATCTGATGTTTTGTGTTCCCATGGGCATGAGGATCACTAAATTTAAAATTTGTTACGCTCTATATGTTATACTTTAATACCTGTTGGTGTTCTGGAGTAGCCCTCTTCGGGTTAGCAGCGGTGGCTTTTGATTCGTCAAATTTGCGTTTAATGCCAACAATGCGTTCCAAGTACAACTCGTTCTCGTGTCGACCCCCATTGCCCCCACTGCTACTACTTCCGCCCCCCGGGCCCCCCGCCAATAGCTGGGACAGCAGTGCGCTTGAGCTGCGATTCCTGTCATCACCGTCTTCATCTGACTTGTCGTTCAGTAGCTAACAAACCACGCAAGAGTCAATTTTAATATAGTACACAGTAAGAACATTTGTTTTAAAATGAGTTAAAAAAAAGCAACTTTGTTTCTGTGTGTTTCTCATTTGATTAAAATATACATATATATATATATATATTTACAAAGCGAAAAAAAGTGTATTAAATAGTACAGACGACTGTAAGACGTACCTTTAACATCTGATTATTATGGTGTGTCGGATGTTGGGCGGCGTGTGAGGTGGGAGGCTGATGGCCGTGAAGCTGCTGAGGATGACGCTGCTGCGGCTGCCCTGAATGCAGCGGTGACAGCGCCGAGGCGGGAGTATGCGGCGTGTGCGGGGTTAAGGGCGTGTGAGGCGTGTGAGGCCCCGACGAATCCCCGCCGCCGCCTTCCTCGTCCTTCTGGTTCAACAGATCCTTCAAAATGGGGTCGTTGGTCTTCTTTGAGCTGAGCAACGTCCGCAATCGGTTCGGCTTCTCAGGTAGCGGCGCCGGATGAGGCGTCAGCGGGGTGGGAGGTGTGCGAGGCGTCGGCGGGCCTTCCCCTGGGGTCGAGGGGGCACGGGGCGTGAGCGGAGCCCCCGCGTCCTCTCCGGTCGGTTCCTTACGGTCTTTACTGTCCTCGCCGGACACTTCGCTTATCGCGAACGTCGAGCCCCAAGGATCGAGGTCGAAGTCGTTCATTGAGAACTGGGGCTCCGGCTCGGGCCCCGTTTCGACCGGCGAGCGGTACCGTGGGGGCGCAGAGGGATCGCCGTTTACGATGGAGGTCATCAGCGGCCCACCGAGTGGAGGTCGCGTCGATTCGAGTATATCGTCGTCGTCGCCGACAACGGTGTTGGTGGACATGATGAAGTCGGGTTCACCCGCGGTGGGAAACAGGCGCGACTGGGCGCTGACTCTGAAGCGCGGGCCGTCGGCGCCGAGACGCAGCGCGTAGGGCTCGCTGACCAGCAGCCCGCCGCCGCGGCACACCACTTCCTGCAAGTGCGCCGACACGCGAGCGCGATCCTCGCTATCTACCAATTCCAAGTAGCGAGTGCCCACGAGAGAGAGGGTAGAGCTTATACAGTTCTCGACCCCGGAGAGATCACAAGCTGAAATAGAGACGGGTGTGTCACTTCGACTGGGGATAAAAGATGGGGGTGAAGGTGAGCCAGGTGTCCAACTTACAGAGAATGATGAAGGTACAGTCGAGTCTGAAGACGAGGGCGGGGCGGGGCGGCGCGGGGGCGGCGGGGTCGCAGCGCCGGATGACGCACATGACGGAGCCGGCCTCCTCCGCCGGCGACGCGCGCACCGCCGCCGCGTGGATCACGCACTCCGCCAACCTAAGACCATCACAAATTGTATCTTTACGAATAATTAGTACTTTGGTCAATGCTCAGGATCATTTAGCAGAATGCTAGAAAACCGGTACCAGAATCGGAAGGACAAAACAAGCCCGTGTATGGTCAAATAGCATATAAGAATATTTATACAAATTTATATTGCCACCGGGACTATAAAAATAGCAAGCATTTATTTTAATTTATAAACATGTTACACTTACTAAACATAATTACAACCTCTCTAATAATAACTTTACCATATATAAAAGGTAAATTATTAATATTATTAATTATTATTATTTATAATTAAAAAAGGGAAATTCACAAAATATTTTTACACTACAGATAAGTAACTCTTCTTGAGTATTAACTCAAAGGAATCCAGAAGATCCAGGATTACTTTCCTATTTCTAATTGAATAATTTATTTTAAAGTAAAATAATTTAGTGAATTAAATCTATTAACCAATTCGTGTTAAATATCTCAATAATTACATATATTTCAATATGGATCTTATCAATTCATTGTCACGACAGATTACATTTATTGGTAACAAAATACCTACTCATGCTGATAAGGCATATTACAACAAAAAGTATGTTGCTGCAGTTTGTGTAAACCTGCATACGCGTTTCTAATTACGAATTAAAATAATTAAAAACAAATAATCTACTTGATGGAAATAAAATATGCAAGTTTGAATATAAATTTTGCTTGCATTAAATAAAATTTTGTACAGAAAATAAAGGTAATCAAATATTGTTTAAAATAGAGTATAATTTGTTTTATGATATGGTACTAATATTAGTCTAATTAGTTTAGTCGATACAAAGAGCTGGAGGAAGAGACAATTATTATATTTCAGGAATAATCAATTTTTCTTCAATAATTCAAACCAAAACACAACCTATTATTGTGTATAAATCTCTCACTCTAATAATAAAGCAAAATTATTTGCCAAAATGTTTGTGAATGCCTAAGATTGATCATCAATAAATTAATTTAACTTACAAATTCTTTTCATTTTAAATAGACAAATCGTTAATACTTATTAAAGCAAGATTTATTACCTGCTACCATCAGTCGCAGTGGAGTCCTTGACCAGGAACCGTGCCTGTATATTTTGATACTTTTCAGGATCCGTTGGTCCCCAAGTGAAGGTCTGTATGTTCCTCAGTAGCGGTCTCAGCTTGGCGTGATCCTCAGCGTGCAATAAGGAGAATATCGACTTCTTGTACAGCTCGGTGCGTTCCACAAGAATCAGGTCCTTTATATTTTCAGTGACACATTCAATCTCCCCCTTCGAGTTGATTTCCATTAAAATCAACCCCAGCACACTTGTGTAGTGCTTCACCGCCTGAAAATTAAGCCATTTTGATTTACAAAACCTATATTTCTATTAAAAACCTACACAGTTTGTATATCATGAGAAAAATAAAAATACATATTTCCATTATATAATCAAGATATTGCCTCCCTCAAATATATAACCAAAAGCCTGAAATAGCAATAATATAGATATAATTCAAATCATTTTCATTATTCCTATGTCACTTTGCAAATAAACGTGACACAACATTTTTATGCTTTGCGAAACTTTACGAATAACAGCTCTACTGTATGATAAAATTCAGAATCATTGTCGAATACCAGATAATATATTTAAAAAAAGCTATAAAATAAAATAAATAAATCAGTGGCGCTACAGCCTACAACCTCTTTAGGTTTTAGGCTTTAGGCCTCAGATTTATGAATCTGTTTCATGATCATTTTTACATCTAATAGGCAAGGTTTAGGTGATCAGTCTCCTGTGCCTGACACACACCGTCGACTTTTTTGGTCTAAGACATGTCGGTTTCCTCACGATGTTTTCCTTCACCGTTCGAGCAAATGTTAAATGCGCACATAGAAAGTCCATTGGTGCACAGCCGGGGACGAGTGCATCAACCAACGACCTCAGGTATAAGAGTCGTACGCTGAAGCCACTAGGCAAACACTGCTCTAAAAAAAAGCTATAACCGAATTCAAAATGCATTAAGACTTTCTATGTATTTATCTACGGTTCGATATCACTAAATTGTTTTCGACAAGCACAAGTCATGATAAAATCAAACGTAAAAAATCAAAATTCAAAGTGGCTAGAAAATAGTTAATACTAATAACATTGTGTTACAAGCATTTCATCATGGAAAAATCATTGAGTCATATCTTAGCAATATTATCTGTTTACACAGACATCAACTTGATTGATTAATACAATAAAATTAATTATTATTTAGCCTCTATATGATAGATTCACAAGTGCATCTATTATGTAACCAAGTATCCAACTTTATAAGACCGCCACCAAAAATTATAGGCAAATTATAAAAAAAATACTACTACTGTGGCCAGTTAACGAATTTTTTACGCGTTGAAATACCGCAAATATTCGGAAATGGTCTGTAGATAGGTACTGACTATATTCTAATCAAGGATTTAAGAGCAGTATTTTTTCTGTAGTATGTGCGAAAAAAGTACCGGCATAACGGTTATGCGAACTAATATAATCCTTATTTTCTATCTAAAATGGATCTCTATTATCTTAATTAAATAAATGATGATTAAAATTATTATAAGTATCGTTTAATTGGCTCACTAAAATTATATACTTTTAAGTATATATGTGAAATTACCAAATGATTACGTAATCATGTCGTATGATTGCTGTTGTCAAATGTCAATATATTTAAAAAAAATCATTCAGCATTGATGCTGCCGCAAATCTATTACGGTTCTGTACCACACAAACTGACTCACTTCTACACATTATCTGACAGTGTCTCTCAAACATATTGTGTCTTGCGGTACGAGAAAAACTGTGGAAACCATATGTGATTGTAGCAACACATCAATTGCACATCTTTACAAAGTATTCAATTTCACAAACAACAGTAATACTCATATAAAAATTTCCTATTACCAATCTTACTCAATGAAGGAGTAGAATATGTATATATGCAAGCAATATCCAACAGAAGATAACTCTTGCCGCCATCTTGGAGACCACGATAGATTACTACTACTCTATAAGACGACTAAGTTACGCTTTCTGTCCTTTCCCAATTACTTTAAAAGTCCCCCACACAATGCCCCCCCCCCCATTATTCTAATTTTAAAGTAACACAAGCAGAAATTGTATATCTCTCTGTAGTTCATCAGTCATGTATTAATTAATGGCTAACTGTCATTACATACTTGCTAACAAGAATAATAGAATGAAAGATATGATACCTCTATTAGGGTACTAATTTCGGTGTAGTGGTGAGCCGGCGGCTGCTGTGTGGAGCTAACTTCGCCCGCTTGTAAGGGCGACCGTGCAGGCGCAGCTCGCAACGGACAATCAGAAGGGCAGGCCTGTCGACGACTAAGCACCTCCGAAATCTGGCGGGTGGCCTCGCGAACGATGCCGTTCTTGTCTGGCTGCCGCACTTCCGCCAGACACGTGTGCAACAGCTCTTCAAGCTGGTTTATGACTTCGTTCTCCAGCTCACGACGACGCTTCTCATTGAAGCACTTATTTCTGAAAGAGACGTTGATAGTAAGTCACATTGATTGGTAGAATTCCTCATATTCGCAAAGTATAGTAGTTTCAATGATTACTTGTCAGATTTAATGACTTAACTATCCAGTTACTAAACGCCCAAACAGAACTTAGGTGGTGTTAAGAATGGAAACAAGAAATTGCATTTCCAGATGGTAAAAATCAGGTCTAGAATTTCCATATATTTTTCTGTTGGGTGGTTATTTATTAAGATCTGTAATATTGAAAGTTTGAAGGACCTTTATAATTGCATAACATTCCAGAAACATGACTTCAATAGGCTCATCCAGTTGTTGCTTAGTTTCTGAGCGTTCTACCAATAATAAGCCTCGACGTAGCATTAAGCACGATAAATTAATAATAAAAATATAAAAAACGGTATTGTTCGTTAGTACTAAGCACTTGAAGAAATGACAACTTATAATTAAATTTATAATAAGCGAAGATAAAACAAAAGGTTAACGAAACGTGTTCAAGGTAATGGATCCATAAAAAAGATGCACTTCTCAAAACAATCAAGTTTATGTACACAGAAACATATGAATCTATCAAAATTCTTTATGATATCTTTATGACAGATGTTATAAAATATGCATATAAGAACCATATTAAATGTTTGAAAATATTAAGTTGCTGTTAATTATAAAGATCAGAGTTTTTCCAAGACAAGAGATAGTATATGAAAAATTCAGAGAGAGAACCCTCTGAATATTTCTTGAGAATAATATCAAAAGTAACAAAAATTCATAACAATTTCATACTCAAAAATCATTGAGTAATTTGTTTCAAAAATTGTACTTGAGACAGTAATCAATAATACATTTAAAAACAAACCAAAGAAATATTTTACAACTATCGCTATGCTACGTAATAATTTAGAAACGACAAAACACGATGCAAATCAAACACATGTAATAAGTAAGAATGAAATTAAAAGTGAAAATATATCGAAGCGTGTCGTAAATCATTACTTATTTATAAAGTGGAGACTATGTGAGTCGCCAATATTAATTGATTTTCTTCAATTCCAAGCCGTATATTAATAAAAGAATAAACCGAAAGTCGAAAGTGATCTCGTGGAATCTTAGTTTCCAATTGGCAAGATACGTACATTTGAGATTGGGGCTGATTGCCAGACTTTTTTCTGATCTTCTTGCCCGGCGCTGTCACGCTCATCTTGCCCTGCACGCCCCTCCATGTGTCTCCCGCTTGGAGGTCACAGGATTCGACTCTACACAGGCATCAAACAAATAATCTATTATTAGAGCGGACCTCTAGTGTTCAGTGTTTCGGATGATCTTTATGTATGGAATGAACCTCCTTCAATACAGAAACAAGAACCCGTAAAGAATGAATGCACTTAACTCATACAATTTTTTGTATGATTCAAACGCTTGCCCCAAATCTATTGACCTTGAACGATTAAAGTACCTAAGTGAATGATATCGCGCTCTACAACTTGAATAATAATAAATTATCAATATCTGCTGTTGCCACTAAATAAACAAATCATTTTACGGTTAAAGAGCACCGATATCAGTGTAATTTCCTATGCAAAAGTACAGTATCGGGCTTGGATAAGAGGAAAGTTTTATATAAAATACATTAATCATATTACATTCTATAGTAGATATATAGCCCTTCATAAGTAACATTCCTAAAGCGTATGTATCAAAAAAACCTTCGTTTATATAATTGGTATTGTGTATAATATTGAGTGAGTCATAATCATAACACAATACTTGTGCGAAAACGTTTGGGTGGAGTTTTATAATATAGAGTTTTGAATACTTAATATATAAACAAATACTTTTAAAGTTACATTTACACTATATTACAATATGTAGTAGACTAGTTTATATCTTAATTCCTAACATCGAAATTTCGACTAGTGAATGATTGATGCGAAAGAGGGACAGAGATAGAGCGTTTGCCGCCGGCCGCCGAGGAGCCCCACAACGCAACCTCACCGCGACGGACGCGCAACCTTGAAATAATAATGTTTGGAATAACAACGTGCCACAAGCGTGACCAGAAATAGGTGCTCCATCAAAATAATACGGAAAACTGTACTTTAAGGGCATCCAAAACTCACCACGCTGGTTGCATTGTGTTGTACAAATAACAGATTCTCTTTAAATGAGACGGTTGTGAATCAAACTCAAACTACACAAAATGAAAACGCGATAGTACAAATCCATTCAACACGGCTAGTTTGAAATTAAAACTGACACCGAATCAGTGAAAGTTTATAAGTATTGAAGGTGTTACGCGATCGAAGATTTCGCTTTTTCAATTGTTACTCAACATGCCCGTCGTCATGGACCTCGCCCGCAACATGACGGCATCAGGCATGCGGCATATAAACCACCCTTTATACACCCTCATTTATGGAAAAAAATAATTTAAGAAATATATTAAAATTATTTTTTCCGTAAATAAAAACAAATTTAAGCAGCTGTAACAAATGAACAAATAATAACAATTATAATTACATTTTGTCGTGTTTACCTTTAAATAACCTTCTAGGGCTCACCTAAATCTGATTGTTGCCAAGGATATTCAAAGTTATAACAAGAGATTCTGGAGTTTTTATTCTCGGAAACTTGGTCACAAAAACCTTGAAGCCTAATTAAACAGAGTTATATAACTCGTGGCTTAAGGGTTGAATAACATAAAGGTAATATCAAATAATGGTAGACGACTTAGAAGAAATACATTTTCATGCTAAAGCATATTCTTGGTATTTCCGACGTATGACTTTCACTTATCACACACTTAGACATCCTAATAAACAAAAAGTATCTGTAATGCCAAAAAAGCTCCGGCCATGCGCCTTGTTTCAAAGCAAAGCATCTCGCGCTTTAGAAAAACTCGACATGTTTATAAGCAATATCTTATACATATAGGTACACTAGGGGTATGAGACACTAACGATTTTGTCTGTACACATTTATTGAAACAAAATCAGCCATTAATTTTATAATGTGATCACAAAATTGATTTATTTAGACTGATGCAGTTTTTGTAAGTACTATTAAATCAGTGATCGAGACAACATAACTTCCAACACAATTCGTTGCTTAGGTAAGGAAAATGTGATTAACAAAGAAAGTCGACTACTACTTCTTGCTGATTAGAAAAATATGTTACTGGGATTGAAGGCATTTATACAGATCAAAAGTAGTTTAAACATAAATTTGTTATATTTAATTGATTTTCATACAAAATAGAAATCTCTTAATCTTTACAGTTGTGTAAATATTAGTTTGTTAGAAGAATTATTAAAATCATTCTTAAAACAGGATCCGCGACCAAAAGATCTCTCACACAAATAACCTTCCTAATACACAAGTAGGTGATCAAGCCTTTTGTGCTTGACACACGCGGTCGATTTTCGGAGCTAAGAAATGCCGCCTTTATCACGATGTTCCTTCACCGTACAAGCGAGTTTTAAATGCGCACATAGAAAGAAACGCAATCCAGTGACCTAATAAAAACATTTCTAATCATCCCCTAACTACTTTGTATCATAAATACTTCAGAATCATAAATCGCCTTTGCACAACATATTAATGGCGTGTTAATTGTTTTATTAATAATCTATCAATTTCCACCGGTAAATAGAGTCATGATTAAGAATGTTTTCTGCAACTTAATGCAATTAATTTATATTACTGCTAATTAACAACAATGTATAATTAATATTATAACTTTAATACGTAAACAAATATGATAGCGTCGTTAAAATAAATCAAAGTAACGAATAAGTAATAAAGTATCTAAATTCTTGCTACAAAATTCCCAGCACTACTCAACCCACGTAAGTAAATTATTATTGATCTTGAATATTTTTACTCCTATAATATTACTTTATCTCCCAAATTATACGTCCAATTATGTTTTCAACATCTAGATTATAGCAATCTTATGCCAAAGCTCAAATTGTTTAGCTATGTGAAATGCTATTTTATATTTCTAACATATTTGCGTTGTTAAATTCAGGCTTCGAGCTATATAGACGCGACTAACGTCACAATAAATAATCTCACTTTCACGACCAAGACCAACCTTGAGAACGTGTTAACAGCAACATCAATGTCGAAGAAGATATCAACTAGCTCCTCAACCTCCGAGTCTGGTGTCATGGAGGGTGGCAGATTGGCTGCCGGCGGGGCTCCGTCAGAGCGAGTCACGCTGTTGAAGAGAAGGGTTTCCGTTTGGAGCATAGGCAACATTGCTACCAGCCACACATCAAACGGACACTGCCACCGCTGTCCACCAAGTCAACGAATATCAACTTTGTACACAGTTTCAATTCGCACCCAAACACACACTGCATTGCGCCACGATCGCCGCGACGCTAATTTTCCACTTCACAACTTATTATTTAATAAATATCGCCCGTCACATCGATTAATAACGTTCACGTCGTTAAAATATTTTCCAACACAAACTTTATTACGCATCTAATAAAATAATGCAATTTCCTATCGACGGCGGTCGCGCAAAACGTTCGCCACAAAACGACGATGAAAGTCAACTGAAAGACGAGACACGCATATACGTATATCCTTGTCGTACATTTCGCATGGCGGCGGCACCGCGAGCCGCCGTCTCACTCATCGACCCGACTCCCGAGAGCCAGGGCCCAGAAGGTTGACACTTGACATCAAACGAGATTTACATGGAAATGGCTGTATTAGGAATGATAGAGATTAGATCAAATTCATTAATTTCTTATACTACCAATTAAAAGTAACAGTACTTAGAGATTACTTTGTTTTGTTTTAGGCACCATATAAGTACTAACAGGTGTTCCCAAATCATGGTCAATTGTCTAAATATAGGAGTGCCTACGACCTCATAAGAAATAAGACTAAAAATCTGCACCATCCATAGGAATCATTTTAATCTTAGTGAAAAAGTATAGAAAGTGAATTGCATTGAGCATAATTAATGTACATGAGCAATCCAGATAAACACATTTATCGTGGGCAAGCGGACACGAAGATAACTTCGCGATAGCTGTGTAGTACACTGTATAGACATGAAAGTGAAATGGAACAGTATTCGTGTCAAGTGCACAATTTAGATAACAAGGTCACTTATTGCATAACTCATTTTAGTGATATTGCCCGGTTAAGGCTTAATTGTGCGAATAAATTTGAATAGGCAATAACATTTAACTATAAAGGTGTTATAACTTAATTAAATTTCAAATAATTTTTTTCATTTATAACAATTTAAATACGTCAATTCAAGTGTTGCAACGTCATTGTTGTGGATAGACTTGCCGTGATCTTAGCTTAGTTTGAAAAGCCAGCGAATTGATGCAAAGTACAGAGACCATATGAATAAAAGTGAAGAAGTCTCTTTGTAGAGGAAGGCAAGCGTGCATCGTGCGCGTCATGTGCAGATATCGGTGCAGGCGGCGGGCGGCGGGCGGCAGCGCGGCCCCGCCGATGTGTGTCAGTGGGTCACGGCAATGACGACGCACACGGCCGCGCACCGCACTTCATTCTAATTCCGCTTCGCCGCCGCCAACGCTGCTCACTGCTCATCGCTTCCCTACCCGTTCTATCACCTCTTGCAACAACTCATTGTTTATGCCCGTACGCATCGCAACAGAAACACACTAATCATTGGTCTTATGGTGCGAATGTTAAACATTTCTTATTATTACGTGCTACACGGGAGCAAAAAGCGTATAGTATTCGCTAGGAATAGGAGTATCTCCCTAACATCCCTTTCTTTGAGAATTGTGATGTCTGTAAGTTCGACACAATATTTGTCATTGGAAAAAAAGTTAATTTGCACTTAGTATGTTGTTGACAAATGACAGTTTCTGGTATTACATGAATATATTCCACGTCATCAATAATTGCTTACACAAATGTAGAACGGCAAATCTTTTAGTTGGAAATTCCAGAGCTGTGCAAGGTTTCGTTGATTTACCGCGAAATGTATTGGTCATTAATTTATAAGGAATATGTTTTTGATAGTAAAGTAGGTCAGTTTACTATATTAGCAAATAAGGGCTCAAGGATATAAAGTATCACGATCAAGGTGTTAGATATTATATATCATACATATGTAGTTCCCTCACGGCCGGGTTCGGTATCATTGTCGAGTTTTAGATTGCTATAGAAAGCGCACACGAGAGCCATTAATAAAAGGAATAAAGACTTCCCACAGCAATTGAAACTGGTTTTTTGGAGACAAACCTCGGCGCATTCGTAAAACAACTTGCTTACATAACCCGTCGGTGTGCATACGTATACGCGGTACATGTAAGATCCCAGTCAGCATTTTTCTAACACCTTCAATAATATACTCGCGAATACATGCAAACCCAAAGTAATAAATGAAAGCTGTTCATGAATAATCGTGATCTCCAGGCCGTTTCGCAGGCGCAGGCCCGAAACCTGCGCATCTCAATCGCAGGGTTCTTCAAACAACGCTAATTACCTAATTTAGCTCATAATCAGATAAACACGTCAGCCAGAGGCAATCAAATTCTGAAATTTATCAAAAACGGAATGTATAATCAGTACTGGTTCTTTCAGGGTGAATTCACTGTGAAGTGATTTCGAGATTTTGGTTCGAATTTAACTTTGATTTACTTTAAAAATGTATTGAATGCGTAAACTCTCAATCCTCGAGAATGTCCACGATTGAGTTTCTTCGTGTAATCGGACAGATAATGAAAGTTAATATATTGCTTTCATGCCGAGTAATTATTGTTGTAACATAATTACAATATCATCACAGCTACACCGAGAGCTGATGAGTTTGATTCTCTTGTGAGTTAAGCAATTTTATGAGGAATGAGTCAAGTAATGGCTTTATAAAATTGCGCAATATTCGTTCTAAGAGGCCCGACTCAATGGTAAAGGATACGCTTAGAGATCGCCGCTCTATTATTTATATAAATATAAATGACTTGCCAAAATGTGTGGGTACAACTCCCAAACACCTGCATCAAGTAGATAATATTTTTTTAGGGATTACAATAGGGTACCATAGGGTGTATACAAATCTTGTCCTGATAATAGTATCAGGACAAGATTTGTATACACGAAAATTAAAAACTTGAGGGAGGGGGATCGATTTTGGGATGAATATAAAATCGATCATTTATTCATCGATTCATGCTAAAACAATTGATTTTTTACGCAGAATGTCAAATCCCTACTTTTAAATCTCATAATATGATTAGATATAATATTGACAAAATCATTACCATTACGACGCTACGAACGAAACCCCAAGACACAGCAAGTTTTAAATAGATTTAATCCCTCTTACCAAAACAATATTTATATAATCCTATTTAAAAGTTAGAAATGAATCATGAATGAACATGGTATATAGATAAAGCGTTGGACCTTATTATTGGATACTCAAGGAAAACTTCTTGAATACTTAAATCCTTTAACAGGAAAATGTTACGTAACTCTTCACCGTAGTAGAACCGTCAATGCTACAATAGCGGTTGACAAACGTTGCACCACTAACATTACATTTTGATATGAAAATAATTTTTATATTGTATTGTTTTCAGGCCTAAAAATATTCAAAAGTCTGAATGTGTAATCACATTGTCTGAGCGGAGAATACTGAAAATTCCATTCATCCGAATATTTTTAATTATTGTTAGAAAAATAAAGAAATAACTAAAACGTCAGACAATAATCTCTATTGAGACCAAAACGTATTTTCATTGAATTGAACGGAAGAAATAACTCGTTACGATAGGACGCCAGGGTCTACGATCAATGTCAACCATAAAATCGGTTTTCGTTCATGGCGTCCAATCAAACTATCCAACTGTAATATAGAAAACGCTATTACAATAAAGTGAACTTAGGGTAAGATTCAGAAACGAGACTAAGCGCCACCTGTGACTGCTGTATGTCAAAATCCAAAACGTCTTTTGACATATAAGAGACTGAGATAAGTTCACTTTGGGGGCCTCATAGCCTAGCGGTCTTATTAAGTGGCAGCTAGGTGAGGGGTACCGGGTTCGATTCCCGGTTCGAGGGCAAGTTTTAATTTAATTCAAATTTGTTCTCGGCCTTTGGGAGGGTTGTGCGGTACCGGGCGAGTGCTTAAACCGTACATAAAGGGCACTGTCGAATTTCTAAAAGACGAGCACGAATTATAAAAAGTCCTATACTTGACGCTGGCTAATGCACAAATCGTGCCAGAGCCATAAAAAAAAAAAAGAAGTTCACTTTATTGTAATGGCGTCTAATGGCGTCCTATCGCAACGCGTTATTTCTTCCGCTCAATTAAACAAATAGACACTTTGGTCTCAACAAAACAGAGCCTTACATGAGCATCTTATCTTATTAATATTATATATTAATTTTTTTTACTTCCATCATCCCACTCTAAATTATTTTTAGATAGAAAAACTAGAACCAAATTAAATATCGATATCTAAGAGTGAAAGTTATGTCCTAGTGTCACTAAAAAAAACACAACTATCTTAGTTATCAATATTTATATCTTTACAGATAGTAGACGCACCGAACTACAGGGACACGATGTTAATAATGTTTATATATAGTAACGAACACAAGGCAAAAGAGCCTTATTTATAAATAAGATTATGACAGAGTATTTATAAGATTTTATTAACTAAAGGGGAAAAATATATAACTTAAAATATCTAATTTTATTTCCAATAAATAGTTTCTAATTGACGCGTGTAGTGATAGTGAAGCATTGTGAGGTAGACCCTGATATTGTACTTGTCATACAATGATATTGTTGGGAACTCTTGTGTGTTACATCAGTTACATTGACACATTCTCTAGGTGAAGCTTTCATTAAATTTTATTACAATACGTAGAATGCAAGTAAGAGTTTTGTGTAGTGAAAGGAATCCTCGCAAATGCGTTGCGTCACGTGGGCGGGCGGATCGATGGGCGGACGACAGAGCGCCTGCGCGGAGGCTGTGTTTCACTATCGACCGCCAACTTTCCACCTAAGTCTTTTGGGGCAGGTTAGGCCTATTGCTCTGGGGTCAAGGTCATGTTACCTTCCCTTAATACCCTCTCATTACCGATATCGTTTTATGTTTATTGGGCAGAGTTAAAACACTAGAGAAAGCCATTTTATCTCCTTACCCCCCTACATCCTCGGGTTACAGTCTTTCTAAGCGCAATGTCATTGCCCTCCACCCTGAAATCGTATCAATAAACTTCAAACGAACGAACCTAAAGTTCAACACGTTTAAGCTTAGACAAAACGATATTTTATATGTTTCGGGTAATTCTACATAGATTTTTTTATTTAGATAAACTGAATTCATAATTACACCTTTGAAATTACGTATTATGGTTGTAATAATCTCTCTGTAATGTCTAAACTAAATCCTAACAGAAACCTCACGCAAATAAAGACCTCGTGAGGTCAATCTTTAAAAACTACGTTATGTGGCATACCTCTGCGTATTTAATATTATAACCATTTCATAATTATATTATTAGGTACATTTAACATAAATAGAGGCATTATGGATCTCGACCTTCTTGGTTAGACTTAAAAATACATTATTTTTAAACAATAATATTTTCTCTAGATAAGATCTTTATATATCAAGATATATTTTGGCGTCATATGTATGAGTATTGCAGAGGTCGTGTAGAGTTGAATCGTTATCGGTGAGAACGGGAACAGTTTAGTGAAATGCGCGAGAAGTATGCGCGAGTAGAGGGTGCGGGCTTCCTTGGCGCGGGATTGATCGCTACGGCGGGCACTTCGCTCGCCGGCGCTCAGACACGTCGCCATGGAAACCGCCCAGCGCGCTCCGTCGCGGCGTCGCCATCACAACCCAGCTACATAATGTACACTCGAATAATACCCCTAATTTTCATATTCGCTCAAATCTTATATATAATATCTCACATAGATTAAAGTAAATTGGCTATTTTTGGTCGCAGATTCTTCTTAAGGGTTTCACAGTGATCTTATAAGATTATTTTTAAAATCTTCTTTAGATGCTACACAAGATTAATGCTTGATAAAAGAATGGTCTTCATGTTATAAAATAAAAGAATCAAAGCAAATCAAAGCAATTCATAGCTCTATAAATATAACGACTTGCTTTGATAGCCGTTTGGAGATTTACGACAATATACCGTCTTCGTATGTCAATTGGTCACGCCTGGGTTTATACAAAGCTTGAGGTCCAACTGAGTTCGAATATTAGCGAAAACTATATTGAGAACAAGCATTTGAATAGGTAAAATACTTTTAAAAGCAAAAACGTCAATTTTATATCGTTTAATTATTAACACAAAAAAGCAGAAGCTTTATACAATACTGAGATGAATCTCTGAAATGCTCATATGCAGACAACATTTCGCATGTTTGAAAATATTCTTTCTTTAAGATTTGAATTGCTTAAGAGTCTTAGACTATAGAACAAACGGCAGACTAGTGCGATTCCTACAGAATCATCTACGACTCGTAGCAATTAAGATTGTTAATTTGAATATAAAAACCGGGGAGAGTGGAATCACATATAAAGTAATGTGTAAATTGTATGGACGTGATCCAATCAATACCTGAAGCGGTATATTTGTATATAAATATTGTGAAATTACCAGAAATATTTTAAATAATTTACATATTACTTGGAAGAATGTTTTTAATACGAGAAAACGACTCCGAGTCATGCTCTTGAATAAGAGATAGAATTAACGAGG